GAATAGCTTCTCACTGGAGGTAAAACAAGCCTATCTGAGAGGGATAAGCAACCAAAAATTCAGAAAAAAATAAACTTTCATTAGACTTTGCATTGAAATGATCCGAAATGACAAGAGACAGCCAGAAATTTTCCATTCACATGTTTTTGTTTATGGGCATTTGGAATTTTGCTTGTTTGCTTTATTTTTGGCTGATAATGTCTGCTCACTTTAAAATGAGATGGTTTGTTGTTTGTTTTTTTTTCTCTTACCAGATCACAGAAAAAAGAAAATGCATAGTTTTCCAATTTGGTAATCTATACATTCTAATGAAAGAAAAAAAGAAAAAAGATATTTCCTCTGGGAAAAAGTATCACCTATTCCAGCCAGCTGCAAAAACAAGCATCTCACACCTTCTACAATAAACCACACATCAGTACATGTTCAAGAAGTTGTGAAAGAGGACCTGAACATCAGGGCTTTTTTTTTGTATTCGAGCTTTGGACTGTGTTATTTCCCCTGGCATTTTGGAGAAGTGGGTTACCTGGACAATGCATTCTTTTAATGTTTTGTCACTACTCTTAGGACCACAGCTAAAAAAATAAATAATCTTACTGTTGAACATTTTTTTTTCCACTCTTCTGCTTCACTTTTGCTTCACTCACTTTGACTCATTCACGTTCATGCCAGTCAGTCCTCCTGGTTTGTCCCACCCAAAAGTCTCTCCATCTTCAGCTTTAAATAAAGCTTCAACAGCAGAGTATCTATCTGAGGTGGTAAATAACACTTTGCTAACGATAAGTCACTGCAATGAAGCCACAGAAAGGGAATGGATGGGATTTTCACTGCTCTTCTGAGCAATGTCTTTTATTGATCTATCAGCTGGATGCTTCTCTGCTGCTCTGTTAAGTCCGTAATACTGGAAGAGTTGTGAATTATGGGTTTTTCTAGGCAATATTGTCTTACCATGACTACTACAGACTTCGCACGGATGGAGCACTGGGGAACTAACTATCTTCGAGACCTGGTGTGGAGGGCTAGAACCACACCGATCACTTCTGCTTCCATGGGGACGATCAGAGGAGCTTGTCTTTCTGCCTGTCCTAGCAGCCCTCCATGGTTCCAGCCATGCAGAGAGCTCACATGCACCCCCAGGCACTGTAGGCTGTCCTTGTAACTTTGCCATATTAAAAAGTACTCGAGGGCTCCTAGGGATGGTCACCCAAGGAAGCTGTGGATTTCAGGGTGCTTTTCCTTCATTATTTTATGCGTTTACTATCTGAAAGGCATATGAAGTACCTCTGAATCCTTGCTTCCTAGTCCTGAGGGAGATTTGTAATAGAATATGTTGATTTTGGTAGTTGCTTCAAATGATCCTCCTTTCTTACTTTTGCTTCCTTCCTTCACCATCCCCTTCTCCCCCTTTATTTTTTTTTTTGTCACAACCAAATATTTTAATTATAAAGAAAAAAGAGAACAGATGCAGCCATTTTGGAGACATTTTGCCATCTGAATTCTTCAGGGCTTTGCTTGCCACAGCTTGTGGGCTTATCTGCCACATCACAGAGACATGTTTAGTGTTTCATAGCAATTTTAGAGCACTTGCAAGGAAAACAAAGGATTTCAAATCACTGTGGCCTAGACTGCTTGTGTTCCAAAAGGGAGATTTACAAGTTTTTAAAAAAATGCATCGAGAATTAAAATTGAGTAAAGGTCTTTGTTTCTTGCTTAGGAAAAAACACTCTGGTGGATTACATCAAACTGGGTGCTGCTTGTGATTTTTGTTGGCAGCTTCTTAATTTTGAAAAGGAGTTCAATAAAACAATGTTCTTCCTTGGAAAAATCCCAAATAAAAGGTTTCTTGAGCATCCTCTTCAAGCACACGAGTAATTGCCCTGATGTCAATATGGTTAAGCACATGCTTCAAACTGAAGTTAAGGACCCTGAAGAGCTGTGACCAAACTAAAACTAGATAAAAAATGTACAGGAGTTACATTTTCTGTGGTTTCTGTCATACAGTTTCTGCCAGTTAAGGGAGCTGCTCTCAAGCTTTGCAATAGCTGTCTGTGCCATACCTATGGGCATAGCTGCCTTCTATCCTAGTGTTTTTAGGAAACACCTTGTTGCAGTAATGGCACTGTCTACTGAGTGGGCAAGTCAGAGAAATCTGGTGCCAACTTTTGGGCACTGACTGGAAGTTGTACATCAAACCCACCATGGGGGTACAATAACACTCTGCTGAGCAAAGAACAACTGACCTATCTCTAAGTAACGCTTACCACTGATGGCTTCGCCCTGTGCTGACTGCTATTGCACAGCCTTGGCAGGAAGATAACTTGTGGCCATCATGACTAAAAATCATCTGTCTGCTTCTAGGGTGCTGGTATGGATGTTTCTGAGCACTGGAAAGCAGATGAGCTGAAGAAAGAACTGAATCTAAACCCTTCAGAGCTTCTGAGTATCCTTGCTGTCACCAGGTGTTCTCTCCAGTATAACCTGGCATGGTAGTCCCTGTGTTAAATCAGATCTTTCCCTGGGATACATCCTTCAGCGTTCTCCTGAGGCCACACACACTTGGGCAATCCTTTCTGTTAGGTTGAAAAAAACACACACAAAACTTTCCTCCTAGAGAACTCTCTCCTGCTAAAAGACAGGTACACCTTCAGCTCCTTCAATGGGCTCACCAAGGTGGGAGTCTCCAAGAGGATTAGGACCTCTAAGCTGCACTTACTCTATTTTGATGGGGACTGCCTATACCTCTAATAAAGTCTCCTATAGAGAGAGGATGGAAGTGATCTGACAATAATGACTGAACTGGTTTTGCTGGACAGCAGCACATTAAAATCAGAGTAAAAGCCAGGAAGGCTGAAGGACTTCCTATTTAGAGATGACAATTCAAGACCCTTCTCCTGCTTTGCAGAAGGAAAGGAAAGGAAAAAAAATGCTTTAAGAGAGAGAGATATGGAATTTTAATGTCATTTTATGAGCTGATTTCTTTTTTCATAGTTTATTGGAGAAAAAACCCCAAACGACAAATCTTAGTCTTACTACTGAGCAACTTTTTTACAGGAAACAAGCTGAGACCTCAATGTCTGTGAAAAGGCAGAGGCAGAGCAGTTCATAATGATCCGTGATAATGAAAACACTACAGTCATACCAGTGAATCTTTAACAACACAGGTGTCTACAGCCCTGCACTTTCCTATACGACCATAAGAAACAAGTTTATCTTCAGTGATCACAGCTATGCTATGACACAAAGTTATTGCTTGGTGCCAGACTAGAGAAACACTTGTGTTTCTCGATTGCTTTGCAGGTGTTAATGAAAATCTCCCCAATAATGACAGTCCCTGCTTTAACAAAATTGCATGCATGCATCTCCCGCTCTCCCCCAGCAAAACCTGCAGTGAAAAGCCAGTGTGATGAAGCAAAAAGCATTTGGATATGGAAATATATTTTGTTTTCAAGCCTCCAAGAGGCCTTGTCATCAGCAAGGAAAAGAAAAGAGGTATTTGAAGAGGGAAAATGCATTAACACTTCTCTTCATATAGTCACATACAAAGGAGAGTCTAAGCTATGAAGGCTGTATCTTACACATGCACCTAATATGTTTGTTGAAAGTTTTCTTAATCTCCTTTATGTTGTCTTCAGTGCAGCATCTCTTTCAAAGTCATTTTGATCTCATTCCTTAATTCTCGGAAATTACAGTGGAAAGGACGCTGCTCTGAAGACCGAAACAATACATTTTTCAAAGATAGTAGAGATACCAGTGAAAAATTAGAAACCTTCATAGTTCTTTGGGAAGGTTGAAGATAGAAATTTCCTGCCCGTACATAAGGTAGGTCAAAAAAGCCCTGAATCAAAATCACTGAATCTTAGACATTACAGCTACAACGGTCTAGAAAACTCACTTAACCCATCTCCCTGTCACTAATTCAGGAGCGCAAACTGCTTGTTGCAGCTTAGGGCCACCCTGAGCTCTGGGTTTGTTGGGGAATTTCTGGTGTGGAACAGTTCTCACAGCAGGGAGACTTCCTGTCTCTGTAACAAATACATGCAGCTTTATACTTCTGTTTCTCGGAGAATTATCTAATGGAAAAGCCAGCCAGTGGTGGAAAATATTTCCAGTTTTGGAAATATCTCCATTTTTGTTATTGGTGATAGGCTGGGATTCCAATCAAACAAGCTGCTGCTTCTGAGATTTTTGACGTTACGTCTCTTAGAAGCTCCCTTGGAGCATCAAGCTGGCTCCTTTCCAACAACACAATGTACATGAGTCTAACAATGAGGCCCTGATTCAGATTTGTCTAGATCCTCACTCAAACAAAGCTTCCTTGGCTTTGGTTGGGTTTTATCTACACACAGAAGTTGACAGGAACTGAGCAAGAAGTGAGCATGGATCCTTCTATTAATTTCTTAGGCTTGAGAAGAAAGAAATTAGGGGTTATTTAGTTGTTAGGGAGACATATTTACATAAAGTTATTATGCTGGGATGAAACTGGATACAGACTATACCGCATGAAGAATGAAGAATGCTTTGAAACATTTGCAACACAGAGCTATTGAGACAGACACTGTCCCAGTTCAGTCACCTGGGATTAAACTGCAGCCCAGTCCCATCTCTTAATTGCAGATTTTCTTCAGCCACCAGAAATGCTCTCTTTGGCTGAGCAAGGGGTATCAGGACAGCTGCTGGCTCTCCTCTAGTGACCAGGAAGTCTTTCTAGAGATGCAAGATGCCCCTGGGGTGGGGAACTTGGCTCATCCCTTGTTAAGCATCCTTCCACCTCTTTTTCTAAAGAGACGCGCACACCAATGGTTCCTGGTTTATGTGTGGGTGCGTATCTGTGCAGTGTAGCTCTAGCCAGAGGCCTAAGTGAAAAAGGCAGAAGCTAGAGAGTTGCAGAGCTGAATCTTTTTGAGGGTCTACAACACAAAGAGAGGCTACAACCACAGCTGACACCCCCTTCCTCATGCAGTTACCTGTGCTAGTGCTTTGTTTCCAGTGGTTCCCATAACTCCTCAGTAGGGGCGATTAGCATCCTTTGGCCTCTTCAGCTGCACCTTCAGCCTCTTCATGCCAATCTGGAAGCCATTCATAGCCTGGATAGCAGCTTGGGCACTGGCAGGATTGTCAAAACTCACAAAACCTGTCAAAACATGAGGTAAGGCAGGGGGCTCAATGAGCTGAAGGGGGCCAAGGCACGTACATGCAACGACCACTGAGAATGAACATGGGGCAGGGGGTGAGGGTGGTGGGAGGGAGGAAGTGAGCAGGTAGGAGGATTGGCAGGTAGGCAGGAGAGTGAGGAGAGGATGGTTGCCAATGAGGGACAAAGGGTAGGAGGGGTTGTTACAGGTTGGTGTCCCAGGATGCAGTGCCTGGTCTGAGTGCCAGTTTGAACACAAGACTATGCAAAGCATGGGGATCCAAATGCTGGTGCCACAGTACCAGCACACACAAGGCTTGGGTCTCCTTTGAGCTAGGTGTCAGCGGGTGTGATGCATGGTCTCAAGGCACTCTGTCTTACTCTTTTTCTCTCCATCATGACTGGGGTGAATCTCTATACTCTCTTTCACTCACCAACATAACCTTTCCTTTGCCTTCCAATGTTCACGATGAAGGGAACCTGATATACCTACTGCTACTTCCTTATTATGGCAATAGAAGTAAAATGTGAATTTAATAATTTCTTCATTATGGTATTCATTGGCATGAATATTTTGATTGTTGGCCACTTAAGCAGTATGAGGGGCTTTATTAACTGGCAATTACTGCAGACTTTCTGTTGACTCTGCAGTTGAGAAAGATGAACCTTAGTGCTTTCCTAACATGGTTTCTGTAAGTAGTTTCATACCTTTCCAGCAAATCATTCAGTCAGCCATGGGGTGCATTCAACTGTAGAAACTTCTATAGTGACTGAATATTGTATTTACAGGCCATCTAAAATTACATTATTTGTCTCAATGGAAGACTTGCTTTCTATGGATCAGAAGACTGGGGACACGTCAGAACCATGCGGGATGACATGCATCTAACACATTCGGCTTGGGGAGGTTTTTTGGTGTGGTTTGTTTGGGTTTTTTCTTTCTTTCTTTTTTTTTTTTTTCTTTTTCTGTCAGCTCAAGGAAAAGGCCTCATTTGCCCAGACTTTAGCTGGAGTGACCATGAGTCTGAGATATTAGTGAGGCAGGAAGCCAATACATTGTATAAGAATTACCTCTGCTACCTTTGCCAGAGATGTCCCTGTGTGCCAACAACATTTCTGAGCACAAACCCTGGGTAAGACTAGCCTGGACCAGCCTACACTCCAGACAAAGCCATCTGTTTTCCCACCCTTGCAAAGCTCTGGCAGCACAAATCAACCCTAGGAAACGAGTGTCTCTCAACAGACAGGCTGAAATGAAAAAACAGTTTGAGAGCCCCTCAAAAAACTAACACTGAGCATTTGCTTCCAGGTATACACCTGCTCCTGACAACAGCACCAGGCA